TTTCAACAGTTCCTTGACTGAAAATAACTTTGAAGTTTTTAAGTGAAGCTTATTGCAGCTAACGAACAAACACTATCTCAATGTATCAGCTGCAGAATGGCCAGAAGCTGTCCGAGAAATGTTAGCTAAAGACAGTACTATTCCAAAGTGCCTGCCCGGATATGAGAGATGCATGTCGGCTCTTGGAACCGTAGTCAGGTGAATAAAGCACTATCATTGGCGATGGTCTTTTGCTTAATTATTTCTTAACAATCGTTTTTTTCAGATATTTGCATCGTTGTCTAATAGACGTCGACATGATCACTATGAGAAAGTTTAAACGCTATGTTCCCCCAGCTTTTTCGAGTGAAACTAAGACAGAAGAGGTTTTTAAATTTTCATATGCCATTTTCTATGTGGCATTCTTTTGTTCACAAGATATTTAATTTAGAGCTCAGGACAAGAACAATGGAAGAATAAAAGCCTTATTCTCGACGGCGTATCGTTGTATAATTTAAACATAGTACCACCACTAACTGGTGTAAGGAAGGGATGCCTTCAAGATTCGACTTCATCCAAATTTTCGCTTTACAATACAGTCAATAAGTGTATAACGGCTTTTGGTAGTGCCTTCATATTTTCAAATTTAGGATTTCTAAAAGTAGATGTTTAACTATTTTATCTTAGTAATCTATTTTTTTGTGTTCTGTCTTCTCTGTAACTTAAAATGATCAACGTTACGTGTTTCCAATTACTGTATCAAATTCAGGGAAACGTTTGCTTCGTCAGTGGATTTGTGCCCCATCATGTGACGTCGAAGTACTTACCCTCCGACAGGAAGCAATTGCATGGTTGAAAAACCCTTCCTCTCAGAAATTTGTGAGTGATGCAGTTGAGCTGTTGCGTAAAGTACCTGATCTTGAGAGGCTTGCGCAAAAGTAGGTTTCTGTTATTTAGTAAACATTTTATTTTAACATTTAACATTTTATTCTTTGTAGATTCTTGGATTTCTTTAGGATTCACACGCTCGGGCTTAAATATCGTGTGGATGAACATCCTGATGGAAGAGCAGTGATGTTTGAAGCTTTGAAGTATAATCGCAGAAAAATTAATGATTTGTTGATGGCTTTGTCAGGTTTTGAGCGGGTGCTGCAACTGAAAAAGTTATACGGAAAATACCGTACGGAAGGCAGCCAGTTAATATTTTTTCTGCTTTAAATCGGAGCTTATAGTTCAAATTTGCGAAGAAAGTAGTCATTTCTTCACTTAAGTATTATAATTCGTGTACTTTACTACTTATAATTTTGTCAGCTTTCATTATTTATGATTTGCTAAAACTTTCTTATTATTTGATTTCCTGACTCGCAGTAAGTGTGGTTTCCAATTCATTCGGTAATTTAAGGCCTCACTTGTTAGAACGCTGTTTCGGTGACAGTTTTCCTGACATAACAGCGGATTTAAAACATTTCAGAGTGGGTTTTTGTTCAAATATTTAACGAATTTGGAGTGAACTAGGTTCATGAATTTCAATGAAATTACTTTTGTGCTGTAATGCTGTGAAGCGGCATGGAGAGTTTTGTGTTCCTTATTTTGATTTCGTTTCACCATGAAGGAGTCGTTTGATCATGAGAAGGCAAGGGCTGATGGCGTAATAGTACCTGAAAAAGGGATAGATGCTGAATATGATGCCGCGCTAGACAGTGTTGCTGATTGTTTAAAGAATCTGGAGTATTATTTGGTTAAAACGCGCAAAAAATTACATTGCCAGGTTTTCTGATCCATTTAAATATTTTACCATTACATCTGCGTTCTATATTTTATGGTCTTTTTACTTGAAATCTTTTTCGTTTGCCAACACTTGTTAATTTGCTTAGCCAGCGTCGGTTTCTGAAATTCTTAGGTTTTTTAAATCTCCTCTTCTAGAACATCAATTTTCATCATTCTGGAAGAAATCGTTTCCACTTAGAAATCCCGGAAGAAGTAGCGAAAAATCTCACTTCGGATTATGAGATGTCTTCGTCGAGAAAGGTTATTTTATGCAGTTTATTAAATTTTGATATTTTTTAACAGTTACTATTCGGTTCCAAAAATGCCTAATTTGTCAGGGTTTCAAAAGAATGGTTACGGTTGACCTAAAACAACTGATTGAAGAACTTGCGAATGCTGAGCAGCGGCGTGATGAAATCCGTGGTGATGTGATGCGACGAGTATTTGCAGATTTTGACTGTAGGTTGGTAGGCTCCAGTTGTGAAAAGAATCTTTAATACCGAGATGTAATTATGTGAACCTGGTTGATGTGCTTCCTAAAAATCTGAACTTGAATTATTTGTAAGGTCAGCGAAGTGGGCCGGAGTGACAGAACGTACAGCTATGTTTGACGTTTTACTTTCTCTGGCTCGGTATGCTTTGTTTTGTGGTCTTGAGTTATGCCGGCCTGAGTTTATATGTGATTCATCTAAGGTATTACTTTTAGAGTTATGTGTTTGAGGTTGAACTTAGAATTATAATTTTCTTTATTCAATTAAATCACTGACGTTAACCACTGCTTTTGTGATTATCATTCAGGCACAGAAAGCAGTTTTACTTTTTAGCCTTTTTTGGCCATAAAAGCTGGTTACCACCCTTGCTTAGCAGCAAAAATGTGTGGTGCAAAAGACACTGCGGCCGAATTTACATATGTTCCCAATGATACTTACCTTGGTGGTGATCTTCCCACAACCATGTTGTTGACTGGTCCAAATATGGGAGGTAAATCTACGCTTATGAGGCAAGTAGCAGTGCTGGTCATTCTAGCTCAGATCGTAAGTCTTGACTTCCTGTCTTTTTCCAAAGATCGGCTACATAGTAACGGTAGGATATCTTGGAGTGGTACTTTAGGGAAGTTTTGTCCCTGCTAAACAAATGCGCTTATCTCCTGTTGATCGGATATTCACGCGTATTGGAGCTAATGATCGTATTGCAGCAGGTACATTTTATCGCTTTCAGTATCTTTTTGTGGAAATTTCTCTTTTATTCTATTTGATGCGTTTAGGTCAGTCTACTTTCTTCGTGGAGTTGAGCGAAGCAAACGTTATTTTACGAGATGCTACGCGTCATTCATTAGTCCTCATTGATGAGCTTGGCAGAGGCACCAGGTATTAGATTTTTTTTGCTCTTATTTAGATGACTGTTATGAGTAAAAATCTTTTAGCACGCATGACGGTACTGCGATAGCTTATGCAGTGTTAAAGAGCATTGCGGAGAAGCACCAGTGTCGTACATTTTTCTCAACTCATTATCACTCGTTATGTAAGGCAGTTGAGAGTGTGAAAAATATAATGAGCGCCCATATGGTTGGTTTTTTTTTTTTTTTTT